ATGAGGAAACTGCTGTACCAGAAAGATGCTCAGATGCAGATTATCCTCCTGCAACATGGCATGAGGACAGGCTATGCAGAGAGAAGGAACACACCTTAAAAGTGTGCTTGGGAACCCAGAGAAAGGCTACAGGAGGAACAGAACTCAAAGTAAGAGTGGGGCCAACCTGCTAACTTCGAAATCACACTAGGTTTCTCCCATTCTCCCACCTCTTCTGTGCATAAGTGTTGTAAGCTTTGTCTGGTTTATCTATAAATCCCCACACACTTACAGTTGACCAAATTGCTGTCGATGCAGCAAGAAGTGGGCTGACTGACGTAACCACCAGTGCCAGCTTCCAGCCATAGATGAATCCTATAATAAGCCCTGACACAAACGTGGAAAAAAACTGCAGAAATATACTGATCTTGTCTCCGATGCCTTCACGGATGGTGTTGATGTCACTTTAAATAACAATAATAAAAAAATTTGTTAGTTCAGAATGCCTCACACGGTGACTCCCTCCCCCCCACTTCTTTACATGCTGTGTGGCCTCATGTCAGGAGCTTTGTCATTTCCTAACCAGCAAAAGAAAATTTTTAACCATGGCTACTGAACTGTACCATTAGGTTCTTCTGTGGCCTAAACACAGCAGAAACCTATTTTTAAGGGCTCATTTTCTGTATTCTCAACATTCTCTGCTGTTTCTATGCCATGACACTAGGACACCAATGACCTAGTTTCCTCATCTGGCACCCAAATGGAACAATAAGTAAACAATCAAGCAGCCTCTTCACCCAACATGACCAATCTCTAAATCATTTTTTCTGCTCAGCTCTCTGATGCATTTTATGTTCATAATTTCGGCTATTGACTCAGATGAAGAGCTACCTCCATTTCATCATACCATTATTTGGAATAAGCTCCATTTTTCATACAAATTTTCTTCCTTATTTTTTCTTCCCAGATCATACAGATATTAGAGTGGAGAGCTTTTATTTAAGCTTCCTGTACATTTTCCAGGACAGATAATTGTCCAAAGATACTATAAAATCCAGAAAAATAATTTTAAAAATAGTGTTTGCATATATAATTCCATAGCACATGGCCATTACAGTCCTCACCCTGAAATCTATTTAGGTTTATGGAAAAATTACAAAGACTTTAACTGGCTAGATAGAATACTGCCCAAGTTCTGACTGGGTGCAAGTATAAGCTCATTTCCATCCAATTAAGTGCCAGCTTTTGGCATTTATAAACTAGGTGGAGACAGTTTGTTTAGCAGTGGCTGACATGTACTTCACGGGCTTCAGAAAGCCAGTGTCAGACATTTAATGAAGAAACCCCTTCCAATGCACATAGCTGAAAAAGGATAATGAATTCCTCACTTTGAGCTGTAATATTTCATACTTTAGGTGCAGTGGATTTTTTTTCTTAACTCTCTTTAGGCTATTCTGTTGAGATAAATGTCAGGGTTTTTTTAAATGCCTTACTTGGGGGTGTGTGTCTGTGTGTAAAAGAAAAAAAACAACAGAGCCCTCACTCTGTCAGTCTGGTGTTCAGTGTTCCTATCTGGGTAGTATCAAACCAAGCCATCTCCTGATGGAGCACTGCAAAAAAGAACATCTTCCGTATCCTTGCAGTTTGCCTTGCAGCAGCAACCAAAAATGTCCACACTTGGATCATGCTCAGGATAAACACAGCAAAGCCAATAGCCACAAAGTAGTAAGCAAACCTGGGATAAAGAAAAAAAAAAGCCCACATGACCCCACTGTATCTAATGAGAAAAGTTAGACACACAGAGAAGCAACTAATCAATCACACCAAAGTAAATACTGAAGCCTGTGATGCATTATTGGGAAGGCATATATAACTACAGATCCTTACT